GTTTTCCCACATTTGATAAAGATCTGGGTATGGAGAAATAGGTCTCTACGATAGGAACATTTCCAGCACAAGCATGGTGATAAAGGATACCTGGCACTGAGCCTTAGTCCAGAGGAGTTGCAGAGGGTGGTGGAGACTCCAACAAGCCGAGGACACGTGTTATGTCTGAAAGGGACAGCTGTTACTCAGCTACAACTGCTGGTAGCCAGATCAGTTATTTTCCTTCCAAAAAAATGTGATTCTTGCGTAAAACTCCCATTTTTTAAATGTGTTGGCTCAGTTGTTTTTTAATTAATGAAAGCTCAGCCTTCATTGAATAGACGCAGTCACAGAGGCATCATTATTATACACAGAAGCTTGCTCCATGTTTTCCAAAGTTTCACTTATGGGGAAAAGTTTTTTGTTTGTGTTGACTCAAAATCTAATTCTTAGCTACTCCCAAACACTGCCTTAAGCCTGCATTTAGAAGATACAACATGAATCAAACCCTGCCCTCCCCAAGAACATGCACAAAATTGGAAAATAAAGAGCAAGTTACCACTGGAGGATTCACCTCTGGTCAGACATACTGTGGCTGCAAGTGCTGCTCAGTGTCCTGGAGTTCTTCTCTGGCCAGTTGCAGACCAGAGACAGCACCCTTCAAAGGTAGCACCAGAACCCTTCACTGCACTCTAGGTAGATTCTAACCAGTGCAAAGGGCATTTTCTCTTTCTGGTTAAAGTCTGATGTTGTCTCGCTGTTTTTAGTAAGGTAGTTGCACATCATTAGTACAATCACAGACTGCCTAACCTTCAAGCCTAGTTTTCCACTTTTTAACTATGAGACTAGACATTCCACTAAAATTACTTATGCCTTAGTACCTTGATTTGTAAAACAGGGACAGTGGTTGAACCTTTCTCATGGAACTGGCATAAGGGTCAGCATAGGGAAAGTGCTTAGACGTAAGTCTAGCACATAGTGAATGCTATAAAAATATTAATACTGGCTGAGTGTCCTTCATCCAAAATTCTTGAAACCAGAAGTGTTTCAGATATGGGTTTGTATTTTGAGAATTTTACATATTTTCATGTGCATATTGAGATGGCCTTGAAATGAGACTCAAATCTAAACACAGAATTCAAATACAACTTACAGATATACACATAGCCTGGAGGCCACTGTATGCCATATTTTCAGTGCACCTGTCACTGTAGCCTGTACCATGAAGACAACTTTGGGATTGTTCCACTGAAGCATCATGACAGAACTGAAAAAATTCCATATTTTAGGGCATTTTGATTTCAGCTCTACACATTAAAGATGTCCAACCTGTAAGTAACGTTGTCACTATTATTACTATGGCCACTGTGACCTATAAGTATGCCACTAGTGTGTTCCACCCTATCATGAAAAACATCATGTCACATGTGTGACTTATACTTGTAAATACTGAATAGTTCTCTGGTGTGAAAAAATAAAAGTGTAAATAGGGCCAAGGTAGCTCAGTGATGCTGCTGCCTGCTTTGCAAGTGCAAGGTCCCAAGTTCAATCCCCAGTACCAAAAAATAAAATAAATAAAATTTTTTAAAAAATATTTTTGAATCCTGGCATGGTGGCGCACGGCTATAATCCCAGCACTCGAAAGGCTGAGGCAGGAGGATCTCTCTGTGAATTCGATACCGGCCTACATAGTGAATTCCAGGTCAGTCTCAACTACATAGTGAGACCCTATTTCAAAAAAAAAAAAAAAGTATAATTGATATTATTGATATTGTGTAAGAGGAAGTAAAGGCTAAAGGAACAGAGGAAGTATAAAAAGGGAAAAGAGAAAATATGTAAAAAGGAAAAACATGCAAAGAATATCTTTGTAAACAGGGAAGGGTACAGGAGCTGAAGGGAGGGCTGGGGAATGGGGAAAAATAAGAACCAAGATAAGTCATAGGAAGGTACAAGATCCCAGTGATGATTGTAACTGTATTGTATACTTACAATGTACTGGTAAATTTAATAAAGATTTAAAAATCATGTCACGATAGGGCTGGCATCGTGTTCTTTGAACACTGTTAACAGAGTCCCTTTGGGTTTCAGTTGGTCACAAAGGCTCTATCAGACTTCTCAGCGATCTCATTCTTGTCCAGAGGTGCCACAGTAAATGAGAATAGGCATCAGAACAGTGAAACTGCTCAACCCACAGGCATGTACTCAACCTACTGAAAATTTTTCAGGAGTCCTATTTTCTCCATTTTACACCTCTTCAGAATGAGGCACAAACTCAGGTCCTTCAGATTATGAGACTTGACACACTGCCAGCTATGCCAAGATGGCAGCTCATACCTTTCCAGAATGAAATGGTACAGTTTTGGATTGTTTAGTCGGTCTTTGAAATTATCAACCAAAAATGTACCCTCTGTTAGTTTAGATAACCAAAGCACTGGCTGTATAAAGTTGCTTAAGGTGGTTAGCCTCATCATAAACAGGTGAATTTCTGAACAGTTACCTTGCCTGCATCTGATAGTCTCTCTCCTCATCCTGAGCTCCTGGAGAAAGTTCAGAAATGCTTTAAAGTAGATGTCAGAAACAGGACCAGATCCTGTTCTGCCATTCATTTTTCCAAACTTGTCACCCTCTATTATTTTTGTCACCGAAAGATCACATGATCTGAAAGCCTATCAGTTTCCACTTACAAAGGGAAGTTATGTTCCTTCACTTTTAATTAGTTATAAACAATATTGGTTTTCAGGTTTCAAGCTACATAACAGAGCTAATGTTACTGAATTTAACTTTTATTTAAAAAAACAAGGTTTTTTATAGTTGGTAGAGGCCTATCATGAGTCTCGTAGATGTATTACTGCCTTGAGGGAATCCTGGTTGTGAACAAGTACATAAAATGTTCAAACGCACAATCTTGCAAAATCTTTCTGAGTTGCCAGATTTCATTTGTTGCCTCACACATGAAATAAGTCCATTTTCTTGAACATTGAGGTGTCCCCCAGCCTGACTTTTCTGCCTAGAAAATGCCATTTTCGTAAAGAGCTGTCATGCTTCGTGTCCTCTGGTTTATGATTTAGCTGTTCGGAAAAAGTGCAGGCTGCTCTCACTTTCTCAGTTCTGGTGATAAGTGTTTTTGTTTTATTAAATCTTTAAAATACTGGACTTGTTTTTTATGGACTCCATATATTCTTTTGTTCTTCTCTTTGACTCGTTAGATCACTTTTTTTCTGCCCTTTGTAAAAATGTTGGTGCCTTTCTGAAGAACACTGTAATCTCCAGCACAGATGTATAATAAAATGGAGGAACCTGTTTAGCCTACTGTTCTATCTGCTTCTCTGATGGCAAGGTCAGAGGCCTCTCAGATATGGCTCTTGCCACTTGCCTTGACAACTCAGAGATCATATGGTACAAATCAGAGAGGTCTCTACAGAATACAAGTACCAAATAACGTGTGTTCCAGGTGTGGACAATTATGAATGTAACTTACTAAGAAATCCTCTGTTAAGAAGCGAGTTCTTGTCCAGGTGTGAACTTGTGTGCACTCGAGCCCTAGGGTTCTTGTATGTATTCAAGCACTGGGACATTCTATGCATAAGTAGCCCTATTCTCCTGATTCCAGGGCAGCTCTTCTTCCCTGAAGAAGAGAACACCTGCAGGCAGCCCTGAACTTGGGTTATTCTCACTGGGCCAGTGCCCCAAGTCTTCTTGTGCCCCAGTTCCTACATTCCCAGGAACTATGCCACTTCATAGTTCTGTCCCTGCACAGAGGGGCCTCAAAAGCTTGAATTAATCTTGAGTACAACTTGGCTGCTCTACTGATGTGAATCCCCAAATAAACCAGTCCATGACATCCAACTGAACTTTTTCACGTGCACACAGTATCTCACAGGCCATCCTGTACTATTAGCTTTGGCAAGTACACTACAGCATATAATAAATCACGGAAGGAAAAAGCTTTTGGCCTACCATGGTGCAGGCTGCTGTAATGTTAGAATACAGAAAGCAGTTCTGTTTTTAGACATCCTTTTACTAACCAAACATTCATAATTTATGATTTCACTGTAAAATTCCTGCAACACTACACCAAAAGTAGTGCTGCCCTTTAATTAAGTGCTCTCGGTAGGAAAAACGTGGAACTGATGTGCCAAATGTCTCTCCGTGCACAGTGATTGATAGTGATTACATCTTTATGAACCCAGCCTAAAGGTCTCTACTTCCTGATGGGTGAAATAGTCTGTGGACCACTTCCTGAGTCTGCCTGGAGGGGATCAGGCGCTGCTAACAAAATTGGAGATAATTCGGAGGCACAAATTAGAAATATTGAGGTTTTAGGCCTTCATCGGTCTGTACTTTGTCACTAGTCTACTTGACTGTTCCTTGTGTCTGTGAGAACCAGTGACCAGATTTCATGCTGTCCTCGCACCTGGGTTAGAATGCAGAGTGAAGATCCCTTTAAGGAATTCTAGTCTGTCTTATGGATAAATTTTAAGATTGGAAAAAATGGATGGCGGAAAGTACTTCTGACCCTATTAGTATGTGAATAAAGAACATTATAGCCAGAGAAGATGTTAAGCTGTTCCACTTTAAAAAAATGTTTTTAAGATATTCTTTTGTTGTCTTTCTTTGAAAGTAGGCAAGTTTAATTTTTAGAGTAATGCCTCTAACTATTAAGGGACTAAAATCCCAAGCCAGGTGGGTTCATCATTGTTTCTACTTTGGTTTTTAACTTTCATCAACTAAGTAGTCAGGTCAGCACCAGCTTCTGGACACCATACTGAAAGGTCATATTTACCATACCTTAAATTCTTCAGGATCCTGGAAAGAAAGAGAACAGATCCATTGCAAGTAGCTATGCTTGTATTAAATGATCTCTTTATTGTTTGATTGCTTTCAGTTACAAATGATAGCAATCAAATCACCGCCTTGGAGCAATTCAGCCATTCAGTCATCTTACCCGTGCCTCCAAGGTGACATTTTTCTGGAGCTATGTGGATACTATGCATATCTGTTATTTTCTGATGTTTTTGCAGATTTGGCCCAGGCTTAGTCATCTATTGGTACGGATTTATCCAGGAGCTGGACTGCAACCGGGAGAGGGGCATCCTGCTCAAAGCCTGTTTTCCCACAGACATTGTCACTTTACGCCATGGCACTGCCTGACCCCAAAGATCCTGGAAGAGAAGCTGGGAGGAAGAGATGAATCCGGAAGCGATTTTACTTTCCTGCAGAGTAAACTCCAGGCAACATCTGCCCTGAACTTCAGCTGAACTCTTGTTGCGTGGCCACACCGTTACCTCTCTAGACAAACATATCAGGAGTTTCTGTTTTCCTTCATCCTGTGCTGATGCGAACAGCCAAGAACTCCAGACACAACCCACTCATTATGAACATTTCTGTCTCTGTCAAACAGTTAGTTTATGGATAGTCATAATCTTTCTTCCTTCCGGATGGTTTCTCCTTGTATAGTGGACAAAAGAAAACATGTGGAGACTGCAAGGTGTGATTTTTCAGTTCTCCTCCCAGCTGCTGAATCATCTTCTCTCTCTTTTTTCCCAAGCCTCCATTCATCCTTTCCCCTGCCCTTTCTTTTCGTATGTGCTTCCAGAACCCCAGTAGCATTGTCATCGTGGAATAGCCTAGAACAAACCTAGAGGAGCTGAAGATGTGAAGCTGGAACAGATTTCTGCTTTCACCTGCCAGGTTGAGCACACCTGAAGTGCAGCCCGTGCTGCTCCCTAGCCCTATGCAGTCTTTACAGTTTCCTGGCTTTTGTGGCCCCAGGCCAAACTGCAAAAATATACTAGATGAGAATTTCCTCTTTTGATAAGACTTATTTGGACACCAAACATTTTACATTTGTCTCATTTAAAAGTATTAGATATTTCTGGAAACTGCACTCTGGCTCGGGGGCTAAGGGAAAGGATCAGAACTAATGGCCCATGCTCTGTAGAGTTTATCTTTAAACATAACTAGTTGTCAGTATTATGCTAGCCAGTACCTTTATGAGTAAAAGAGCACATTCTGTAGTACACTGCTTTGTATCTGCATTTTACAGTGCATAATTACATAACATTCAAATAATTTGGACATTAGCAATGTTTGGCTTTGAATGAATTAAATGCACCAGAAATAAATCTAGGGAAATTCTTTTTTTTTTTTTTTCTTTTTTGGTACCAGGGATCGAACTCAGGACCTTATGCTTGTGAGGCAGGCTGCAGAATCACTGAGCTAAATCCCTGGCCCCACCTAGGGAAATTTTTACATAAGCAAAATAAAGTAATTTTATATGTTGTTCACATTAATTTATTCACTTCTATATCCTACAAACCAGACTTCAATGGAAAGTAAAACATGAATAAATTAATTATAAATATATCTTTTAAGAAATTAAAAATTATCTATTTCAAAAAATGTATTTAGGAAAATATTTGTCTCCATGTTAAGGAAACATAATTTTTTATATTGTCAAATAGGTGATCTGGGAAATATTAATAAAAAATGTGACTTCCAAGTACCTGTGTTACACAGATTGCTTGATTCTTTCAAAAGACTAATTTGTTTTTGCTGCTTTGGTTTATGTAAGAAGGTTTATAAAATTCTGCCTGTTGTTCTTCCTTTGTGTTTGTGTGTATCTGTGTGGTTGTTTGTTTTTTAGATAGGGCCTCGCTTTATAATTTAGGCAGGCCTTGAAGTGACTATGTAGCCCAGGCTTCCTGAAACTCAAGGTGATCCTTCCTCCCTGAGCCTCCTGTGTGCCACCACAGCCACCTGTTCTTCCTTTCAAAGGACATAAACATGCTGGGTCTAAAACAGGACCTTGACTCTGGAGTGAGGCTACATTAAATTCCAAGAGAGAGGAAGAAGGTGAAATGATAAAGAGGTGTCAGACAAACTTGATTTCAGGGTGAAATTCACTGTGCGGGTTTTGTAAGTGAGACAGAAGGATTTGAAACTACTAGTGTATTGCCTTGATACGCATACACTTTAAATAAAAATGTTCTTAAAAGTAGATTTCATGGTATGGTTGAAACTCTCCCCCCATAGGAAAAAATTACATATATCTGCACTGATGTTGAAAATCCTGTTAAACCCCTGCCAAGGATTTGTTTGTTTTATATCAAACAAATTTATGATGAGCAGGAACAAATAAATTAAAAAATAAATAAATAAGGTTCTTGGATTTTGTACTTATTCTTCTACCTGGAGCTCTGACATAATGTGTTGTGAGAAGGTACTGGTTTTCCCTGGCAAAGGCACCTCGGTTATGAATAAGGCATTAATTACAATTTAGCCTTTAAAAATGAGACAGAAACCAGTGCTAAATATACATTCTGTGATAAGGTGACAAGTGATTCAAAAGTAAGCTTTTTTCCCCACACAAAAACTAATGCAATTGTTATATTGACTACCTTTGATTTGGGGTACGGGAAAGTAGAAAGTAACGTTTCCAAATTGGAAGCTTAAAGCCACCTTATATTTTCTTTTATTTAAAAAATATGGGGCTGGGGATTTAGCTCAGTGGTTCTGCCACCTGCCTTGCAAGCGCAAGGACCCAAGTTCAATCTCTGGTACCAAAAAAATGAAAAAAAAAAAAAATACTTATCCAGGGGACCGGGATTTAGCCAGCTGGTTCTGCCATTTGCCTTACAAGCACAAAGGTGCAAGTTCGATCCCCAGCACACAAACACGCGCATGCGCGCACGCACACACACATACACACACACACACACACACACACACACAAACCTTATCTGTGTTTCATCTCTATATGTTGTTTGCTTGTTTGGGTTTTTTATTGTTGTTTGGTTTTTTTTGGTCTAGACAATATAAATAGCCTGGGAAAATAGACATGGATGACAACTTATATGTATTGTTGTCATCATTAGGAGAACATTAACATGGGGGCCAGGGATTTAGCTCAGTGTCCACCACCTGCCTGAGTTCAATCCCCAGTATCAAAAAAAAAAAAAATTATTGACATGAAAACCAAATCTTGTTATATGGAGCATTATTATGCACACAAATTGCACCAAGCAGGAGTGTATAAAACATAATTCTTAAGTGCTGTTCTCTCCTTCGTGCAGAGATTGGAGAAGCATCTGCTCTCACAAACACAAGAGCTGCATTTGAAGTATGGGCAAGGATTGGCTCAGAGCAGAGCCCATCCAATGCTGACACTTTGGGCAACTGCATGGGCTCCTTCCCACCTTCCTAGCCTCCTCTCCCAGAAAACCATAAACAATTCAGAATTATTTTTATGCCTTCTGGTGAGATATATGTCAACTCTTCAAAATTCTCCTACGCTCACATATAAAAGGTAAGGTTCAGGGGTCTAGAGTAGAAAGTGGACCTCCAGGGGAAATAATTTTCTTTTAACCATAGGTGTGTGTACCTGCTCATTATCTGTAAGGCTTGATTTCACCCTGGAAAAGATGATAAATTGTTGGTCTTTGGGGGGTGCATTAACTCATGGAAGCCACCAGAGGATAGCTTGGAGCGCTGATGAGGTAATCTACTAAATGGTCCCTGGTGGGCCACCCTAATTAATGCACAGTGCCAAAGTGAACAGTTAATTTACTCGCCTCCCACTAGAGAGCAACACCCATTGTTTCCTTTCCTCTGTGAAACCAAGATGCCTTAGCTGTTTGCTCTTTTTAACCTGCTCCTATCAATGGACCTGGTTTTTCGACTAAATTAAACCTTCTTTGCGTTCCTGTTTCTTGCCTTAACTGTTCCTGTCTTCCTGGTCCTCTTCCCCTTCACTAACCCTTGCCAGTTTCCTTCCACATGGATGTGCACTGTATAGTTCTCACTTTGGCTCTTTTTCTCAGTAGAAAAATGATCCGAGGGCCAAAATACATAGCTTCTAAATCCTGGTGCATATATTCACGGGGGTGGGGTGGGGATTGGCCTAATCTCTTTGGAGATGAGCAAAATCCAGGCATCCTTCATGTGCCAAAATTTTCAAATACATATGTGGTACCTGTAGGATCATAAAACTTTTAACTTGAGTCATAAGACTTTACAAGGTTAAATATGGTATGAGGTTTATGCCATCAGTAAATGTTTTGATACAGGGAGCCAAGAAAACATGTAAGGATTTTAGAGATTCTTTTCAGCCTAAGTGATGGTATTCATTTAGTTAAAATTATGAATTAAAATAGTACAGTATCTGTATTATTTAGAGAATTTCTCAGCCTGTTTATTATGGAGACAGCTTCCCACTGTTCATGTGATCTAATGGACTAGATTGCTTGAGAGTATTTTATGACAAGAGAAAAGGCTCCCAATGGGCATCTTTTTTTTTTTAGAAGGGGTACGGGGCTGGGATTAAAGAACAAAGCAAACTTTACTAGGGAGGAAACTAAAACAATGGGAGTTTGCCTGCCGTATCCCAGTTTACAGATAAATGCCCATCTGAAACTTGTCTGAGTGACTCCAGTTAAGGCAGAGTTCTGTGTGACAAAGTCTGGGTCATAGAATTGAATTGAAAACTAACCTTCATAGAATTGAAAACTTAACCTTCCTTTACATAGTAAAATTGGTCTAAACCCATTTTATTAAGAATGTGCCTGGATTCCAAAGATTAAATAAGGAAGAGGAATTGTGAATTAAATAATAACCAGCTTGGATTCCCCTTCTGTTATTACCTTCCTGGTATTGTTTTGCATAAGGCTGTGGGACAAAGAGCCTCTAAGGTCAAGCACTATAAATTACACTTTCGTACAATAGTAACCCACTAAAATTATTTCAAAGCCTGATCAAAGTACTTCAAAAGGACTTCTAAAACTTTTCCAGCATGCAGGGTTGGGGACAGGCTCATTTGATGCCTTAATTTGTTTTTGCATAGCAAAAGCTCAATCTTAATGTCATACCTACTTTATATAAAATCTCACTGAATAATTAAACAAATTCAACTTGTCTTTATTGTCCCGTGTTAGTAGTAAAAGAGTTTTAAATTTTCATCCAGTTAACTAGGACAACTAAACATTGAGTCACTTGTAATATAAGGAAAAGTAGCACTTTAAACTAAGCATTAACGTATTGATTAAATATGACAGTACTGTGTTGTGGCATATGTTAAGGCTAACACTAGAAGGCTATCCCGTTCTTAGAATAAAACAGGTCTCTGGATTTATTTGGCATTTTAATAATAATCATATCGACGGATGCTTTTAATTTTCAGCCTTTTCCCTCACTTGGTTCCTCCAGAGCTATCTCCTGTCAGGCAAGGATGATGGGAAGTACCCTAGCAATTGCGAAGCTAAGCAGATTCTGGGCTCACCATGTATAAAGCCAGCGTGGACAGCTGCAGCACTGTCGTGCTCAAAGAAGAACCCGTGGTACTATGTCAGGGCAATTTTTATTTTTTAAAAGGAAGGTCGTTTTGAAATGCTGACATGAAATATAACTAAGTCAATTAAGTAATAACAATTGAAGTTCAGAGTTTAATTGAGGGCCAAACATGAAGCTGATGACCATTAACCTAAAATAGTCATTAATTCCCCTGGAAACTGCCATGGTTAAAGGCAGCTCTAGACTAACTGGCACTTTTTTCTTTTAAAAGTGCCTTTTGTCATTTTTACATTCAACACAAATACATTCAGAAATAATTTAGTGAGTCTATAGTAGACTGTCTGTATTTTTAAAGTTTCAACTGTGATTCTCTTGCAGGACAAGTCAAAATTTAAAACTGCCATTTTCTGCATAAAGCATAGTGTTTTAAGTAAACTGAAAGATGTGCATTCTTTAGTTACTTATTATTTATTTATCTTAATTGGGACTTGTTTCTGTACTGGTTTAATACAAGATTTTTTATTAGACTATAAACTCCATGAGAGTAGAAATAACATTTTATTTCATTCACTACTGTATTTTCCAGTACCTAACAGATTTCCTAGTGTAAAGTAGTTATTCAATAAATATTGACTAAATAAATGTTATTAAATTTATATTAAAATTATTACTAGCTTACACTAAGCAAATAACTGGAACCTTTGGTTTCCATTTTCTTTGAAAATAGGTGTATTTACTAGAATCAAAGAAAAACCACATATGTTGAGGTTAAAGAATTAATTACTTTAGAAACCATCAAAATCTGAAATAAAGCAAATTTATAGAGAATATTTTAGGATGCATACTTAGTTTTAAGGGGAATTCATAGACTGTATTGCATTTGCTTTAAAATTAGCCTTAGAGCATT